AGAGTTTGGGGGGTTCTGAGGGTTTGTGGTGTCTCCCCCTTCCCCACCTTCTTCAAAAAAGGCTCCTCCATCACCCAGGAAAAAAGTGCCAGGAGACAGAGGTGGTACCAGAACATCCCAGTGACACCACGCGAGGCCAGAAACACCCTGCGGGGGGGACAACCCCCCATCTCCCCAACCCCTTGTGCTGGGCTCTGCCAAATGCCCCAGAAGAAAAATATTCCTCCTCTTTGGAGAGGCAAAAAAACCCTCCACCCCCCTCGGGTCCTCGCCCAGGCGTGGGTGGGGGTCGCCCCGTCCTCACGGCGATGGTCCCCGTGACAGAGGGGATGGACACCCTGTGGTCTCGCTGTGGTAGCACCGAGGAGAACCCAGCAGACTCCAGCCGTCCTGGGGAAGCCGGGTTGATGCTCCACAGCCTCTGTCCTTGGCTGGTCAGCAATGTCCCCCTGGGAGCAGGGTTAGGATGTGTCCTTCAGCTCAGGGCTGGGGGGCTGTGGAGGGGGCACCTCTGCTGAGGGTGACTGCATCTCCTGGGTGCTGCCTGTCAGGAGAGAGATGAGGATATCATAGAAACATGGAATCATAAAGGTTGGAAAAGATCTCCAAGATCATCCAGTCCAACCATCAACCCAACACCACCATGCCCACAATGCCCTGAAATGCCATTTCTACACGTCATGTCTACACCCAATGTCTACAGTGTCACGTCTACACCCAATGTCTACAGTGTCACGTCTACACCCAACCATGTCCTGAAGTGCCACGGCTACAGGTTTTTTTGAACATCTCCAGGGTTGGTGACCACCACTGCCCTGGACAACCTGTTCCAATGCTTGACCACTCTTTCAGTAAATAAATTTTTCCTGACGTCCAATCTGTACCTCCCCTGGTGTAGCTTAAGGCCATTTCCTCTTGTTCTATCACTAGTTACTTGGGAGACTTGAGAGAAGAAACCAACACCCATCTCACTACAACCCCAGGTCCTGCGCACCCCACCTTGTCCTCCCACTGCCCCAGCACCCACCTGTATTCAGGGACATCTCGGCCAGCTTGAGGGGCAGGTCAGAGGGGCTGACACCGGCCGGTGAGCCCAGGATGTCAGGCAGGGCATTGCGCCGGCCGGTTCTCCCAGAGGATGCGAAGTCCAGGACAGGTTCCACCTCAGTCATGCTAACCCTGGAGAGACACGGTCCCCTCCCCGTCAGCCCCTTCTGACCAAGGGGACCCAGCTCTGGGCCAGGCAGGATGCTCCCTAGAGCCCACTACAACCCCTCTGCCCAGCCTGACCCCAGGCTCTCCAGGAGCGAAGGCAGGAGCCACCCTGCCCAGGGGACTCTCCCGGCCCCAGGGTTGGCACCTTTGGGTGCTGTGACCTCTGCTGGTCTCCTGCTTTGGGCTGGGACAGAGCGAATTTTCTTCTCAGTATCTAGAGCAGCCTATGGGTTGGATTCAGTCTGGGATTTGGTATGAGAAGAGTGTTGATGATGCACTGATGTTTTTAGTTGCTGTTGGGAAATCAAGGACGTTCCAATTTGCCATGGTTTGCTGGTCTGCAGGTGCAGAAGAAACTGAGGGGGGGGGACATAGGAAAATTACCGGACCCAGGCTGGCATCTGGCTCTGCCAATGGATATTCCATATCATGTCACGTCAGGGTCAGCAGATTCACGAGGGTCAGCCAGAAAGCTCTCGCTTGGGCTCTCTCTGTCTTTGGGGATTGCGGTTTGGGGACTGTC